AAACCCCCCCCCCCTTTCCATCACGTACGTACACAGGGAACGGCAGAGTCAAAAATAAAGCTCCGAACATTTCACAGCTCCCGCCGGCTCCCAGCCCTGCCGCCATCCCACGCGGCGCCGAACGCGCGCTCGCCGCTTCCAAGTTTCGCGGTGAGCTTTTGCAAGTGGGAAGCGAGCAGCCTCCCCCGGGCAGGCCGCCGCCGCCGCTCTCCTTGGCGCAGGCCGCGCTCGCAATGGTTTTTTTTTTTTTGGGTGCGAACCTCCAGGAAAAAGAGGATTTTAAGCGCAGCAGCAGCAGCACTCGAAGCTTTCCCTGGCTTTGCTTTTGGAGGGCTCGTCCATGAAATGATGCTGGTGCGGGTTTCTGTATCCCCTGCCCTAGGTGCCTGTGGAGACAGCCGGGCATCCCTGAGCAGCATCCACAGGCTGGTGCTAAAAAGAGATGACACAACTCCCTCTTTACACAATATTCGCTTATCTCAACAGTCTCTGGGGGGGGGAAAAAACCCACAAAACAAAACTCCAGCGCGCCCGCTCATCTCTTGACAGACTCTGATCCTCGCGCTACAAACTCAACGTAGGCGACGAGGCAGAGAGGATAAACCTCCATCCAAAATATGGTAATCTGGGTTTGAAGTCTCATAGAAGGAACAAACAGGAGTGAGTCAACAAGCCGCTCCGTAAAGCGAATCAATGGAAAGACAGCATATATTGACCCAGATCTGCTTAATTTCAGGAGTTTACTCCCCTTTCCTGAAATAGAGAGCTCAGGCAGGCAGCGGGAAGGGCAGGCGGAGGGGAACCTCGCCGAGGAAAGCCTTATTCCCTTGCTAAAGGGATCTCTGCCATTTCTTTTTATTTATTTATTTTTAATGTAAGCCTCTCCTCCTTTTCCTGCTGTTAGGGTCATAACTATTTCCCAGGCAGGCTGCGTAATGCACTCGAAGGCTGCTCCAGTGCAGCGCTAAGTGCCAGCCCCTCCAACGGAAGGGCAAGGAAGAGAGGCTGCCGTGCCCTTAACGAAGCCGCGCAGCTCTGAAGACCTCACTCGTGTTAAAAGGAGGGATTTCCAGATGCAAGACTAATGCAAAACACATTAACACTAATGGGGGGACAAGGTGTGGGGGGGGAAACTGCCAGCCCTTTGAGCCCCAGGAGGTTGTTTCGATGCTGAGCCGTAAGATGCTTTTTGGCGCTGGGCTCACCTGCGGACCGGGACCCATGGGGCCCATCCCTCGCGGAGGATTCATCCTTTGCATGGGGCCGCCCATGTTAGGGTGCCCTGTTGGGAGGAAAGCAGGGGTGTTACACGGCACAGCAGCTGCTTCCGGTCCCAAATTAGCAGCTAACGAGAAACGTTCATGCTCAACCCTCCTCCGTTGGGTTTACCTTGCTGTCGCGTGGGATCCATCGAATTGGGCAGCAATGGCTGTGTACCGGGAACGGCACCCGGGGGCTGCGGAAACAAGGGCAGGAAGATTAAAAAAATTATCATAACTGCTAAAATGCAGCCTACAGAGATAGATTTGGATCTAGGCTTGAGGATTTCAGGGTTTGCTCCCACTCCTGCTGTGGCATGAAATGCAGCCGTCCGAGCTTCCTGCATCCCACTGCATCCCGCATCCCAGGCATCTTCCATCAGCCTCCGAGTGTTTGCCTCCCCTTTCCTTTTGCAAACAGCCTCCAAAAACCAAACAAGGCGCCAGTGTTTGCTCCTCTCCCTGCAGCCCACATGCTGTCTGGCTGCCGTATTTTAGGCGAGCGGGGGGAAGCCCAGGCTGCACAGGGCAGAGGTGTCAAAGCCGGCAGGGAAAGGAGCCTGGCAGCTCGGCTCCCGAATATTTACACAGCGCCGGGGCCAAACCATCCAGGCTGCAGCAATTCATCAGCCGCCTATGGGGAGGGAGATGCTCCATTTGCGGCAGAGCGTCACTCAGACCTGTCCCCAACACAGGCAGGAGGGGAAGGCGGATGCTCCCCCTAGCTCTGTTCCCTCAAGGGCTATTTAAAGTTCAAAGGCTGCTCCGAACAGATAAAGGGGGAGAAAAATGCAGATTATCATCTGCCTGGGGGAAGCAAACTGTAAACAGGTTTGCTACAGCGCTGCCTTTTCTTTGGATACCGACACGGACAGATCCCAGGGTGTGCATGGCCAAGCTGAGGCAGAATCTGCCCAATCCCTATTCTTTCTTTCGCAGCCTGGAAGCTGGCAGCAGGAGGAAGATAAACCAGGGGAGGTTGTAGCGATGGATATTTACACTTCTGCTGCCTGACCTTCCCGCCTGCCTATTTATTCCTCTCGTCCCTCTGGATGTGACCATAACCTCTCTGAGCTCCGAGTAGGTACAAATCTGTCTTTTATATGTGGTGTCTGGGGGGAAAAAAATAAAAGAGATCTTTCTAATTAACTTTACTCTGCTCCTGGATGCTCAACCCGGCTGCAAAAGCAGCCACCCCACGCGGGTGCTGTGCCTCTCCTGCCTGCCCCAGCTCACCGTACTCACTTCCAAAATCACGCTGTTAGCCAAAAAATGAGCTCCCCGAGATAATTTTTGCTGCGTAGCCACCTTTGCTGCTCAAAGTAATTACAGGTTTCCTTTAATTTCCCTGAACCTCTGGTTTGGTTGTTACCCTATAGATCCGCACAGCCTCGCTGGGGACGCAATGAACTCCTCAACCAAGGGCCACGCGTCCAGGCAGTGCGTGGGGTGGGAAGCCCCCATCTGCATGGCCAGAAACAAACTGTCCTTGTTTAAGCCGGGATAAGAGGATAAAGCCAGCCCCCAAAATTCAGCAGTGACCTGCCTCGCTTGACCCCGCCGCTGATCTAAGCGCTTGGTCAACCCAGCAGCAGGATTATCTCCATCACTTTAATTTTCTGCGATTGCAGGGAAAATCCAGCCGGGCAGCGAGCAAACACCACAAATAAAAAACAAGCAGCACACGGCCCACTGCCGTTTACACCCTGGGTATACCCAAACCTCAAGAAAAATAAAGAATTACATAAAATTGTGTGACACTTGATGCTCCACCCCCAAGAAAAGCGAAGGTGCCTGAGGGAGGTGATTGATGCTTTGCTATCCAAACCCAAGGAGCATCTGCAGCACACCCAGCCCTGGTCCCTCTCCCCAAATAAAAACCATCCCAGGGAAACCCAGAGCCCAGGAGCACCGTACCTGGTTGCCCATCCTGATGGGGGGCCGGGGACCTCCGGCGTAGCGCGGCGACATGAACGGCTGCAGGGACACAAGAGGGAGGTGAGGGCAGGGCTGCGGGGAGGCAGCACGCTCCCCACGCGCGCCGGTTACACTGTACACACTGCTTTTGGTCTGGTTTGTTTTGTTTGGTTGTTGTTTTTTTTCTGGAGACATCCTTTTTTAAAAAGTTAAAGTTTCAAAAGGGAAGGAAAAAAAAAACCAAAACAACAACAAAAAAAAGATGTCCGGAGTCCGTTTTAAACATTTTCTCTGTAGATTTATTGTTTGAGAGTTTTGGCATCGGCAATACCAGGTGAGGCTGTTAAAATTAGTGCATGGGAAACCCTGGGTGTTAGATACTGGTCAAGTTTAAATATATAGAGATATATTTTTAAAAGTGGCAAAAAAGCACACACAGACACGCACACAGAAAAAAACCCCCAATGCTAAGTACTGGAAAAAAGAAAGAAGAAAGACTTAAAAGTTACTTTTTTTTTTTTACAGCTGCTGCTACTAACAGAAGCTTAAAAACCCACATCAAGTTAAACATCTCAGGCTACCTTGGGAAGGTAAAACAGTCTTGATACCCACGATTGACTTCTCAAGTCTATTGACAACTGCACATCCAAAAAATAGACCAAAAAATAAAAAAATGGGAGAAAAAAACCCAACGTTTTGTTTCGGAGCTGGGATGCCCGGGGGATGCTCCCCAGGGGAGCAGGTACCCGCTGCCCAGCATGCTTCTAGAGGGGGGGAAAAAAAAACAGGAAAAAAAAGGAGAGAAAAAAAGCAAATCGAGCGCAGCACGTCCCGGTTCACAGCCCTACCCATCGCTAGTGTCTTTACCTGACTGTGGGGTCCCATCATGCTGTTAGGGTTGTGGGGTGGAGGCTGTGCGTGTGGCGAGGGCTGTGACCCAGGCGGTCCCTGTGAGGTCAGACAGTAGAAGGAGGTTATGGATTAGCACATGAAAGCGCAGAAAGAGCTAAAAAAAGGATTGACGGGCGGACCTGTTTCGTCAGGGAGGCAATTCTCCCGGTTTTAATTTTTGAAATTCTTTTTTTTTTTCCACTTTTCAATTGAGTTTTCTGTCCGTTTGTAGCTGAACAATATGAATAAATGATATACGCAAAAAGACAAAAAAAATAATTAAAAATCAGAACATCTGTCAAAATACATCAGCCACATTTGATGGTAAATGGTCCGGTAGTTCAACCAAGTCTGCAATGATAAACACACAGGGAAACACTTTGCATCAAGGAAGAAAAAAAAACTATGCGGGAGAGGACCGGAGAGGTTGGGGGAAATCCAAAAAAACACCCCCAAACAAACAAAAAAAAAATATAAAATCCGTTTTTCCTCTCTCATCCCAAAGTTTGGAAACACCTCCAGGTTTTGGGCTTGTTTGGTTTTTTGATGGTGGTTCACTGGAGGTGCTGGAGAGAGCGCAGAGGACGAGGAGCACGTCCCAGCGCTTGGCCGGCACAAGCAGGGCTGCATCGCCAGCCCGCGCGGATGCAACATCCTTCCTCGAGGTGGGTGGATTCCCTAAGGACGCGAGCAAAATGGCTTGCGAGCAAAGAAAGGATGTCTAGGGGGAAAAAAGGAGAGATTAGTCGGTGCAGGTTTAAGGCTGCAATGCAGCAGCCGCTGACATTTTGGGCTTGAAACGCCCACTTTTGTGGTGGTTTTTTTTTTTTTTTCCCCCTTCAAATTTCCCTTAAAAGCACGAAATGAAAATTCGCTTGGAAAAACTGCTCGGTGCAAGAATATACCGGTGCGTGTTAATGTAAGGAAGACCAAAAATAAATAAATAAGGTGTATTTTTTTCGAGTGAAAAGAAGGTGTAATCGGTAGAGAAAGCAAACGAGCTTTGTCAGGAGGTGATGGGAAGCGACGGCAGGCTCCGGGACCGGCGTCGGAGCAGATGTTCTCTACCTGCCTCGTTACTAATTTCAACAAGTGTTCGCCTTCTAGCTGCTGCCAGCAATGGCATGGTTTGTTACCATGAGCAATTTTCTTAATTAACAGACATTAATTAGCCATTTAGCAATTTTGCAAGCATTTGTTTAGCAGCTTTCCTAAACATGAATACCACTGTGATAATGGTACTGATTAGAGGGTCCCCTAATTAACAGTACAGGGAAGGAAAATTGAAATCACATAAATTAAAAAGGGAGGGGAAGTTAATGAAGGCAGGACATATTTGCACCTGCAAATCTTTTGTACGGCACAAACTTGAGTGCAATGTAAATAAAGTAAGAGGGTGGGTTTTTTTCCCTCCTTTTTTTTTTTTTCTTAATTTGAACGGTTCTGCGGCGAGATGGAGCCAAGCGGATTGAAACCAGCAGCCTCCTGCCAGCCTCCCTGCTCGTGGAAATGAAGTCCCACCATTTACGCCACCATTTATTCTCCAGGAGCTGAAGGCAATCAGCCCCTGTGCTTCCTGCCCAGAGAACCTCGGCTGGAAGAGGTCACGGCGCCTCAGGACAACCCTCCTGGTGCCAACGCAACTGTCTTCTCCATCCACGTCCCACCAGAGCGGAGAAGACAAACTTCTGTGGTCCAACTGCAGCATCAAGCAGAAGTAATGATCTCCCTGCACCAAACTCGACTTATTTTGGCTTCTGAGGTGGCTAACTGTGCAAATGCAAACTGTCCTGGTGGGCAGCAGCCAGATCCCACTACACTCACAGAGGACAGCACTCCCCAGCAAGGACTGGCCGCCACCAAAGCCCTTCCTATGCGTCATCACAGCTGCAGGATTTAGGGTAGGGAAGGCTGGCAGAGGTGAACGAGTGACGAAACGAAGTGGGAGGGAAACACCAGGACTCACAGAGGCCAACGCTCAAGTCCCCTCAGTGTAAGAGCCAACAGGTCCTCCACAAAGCCTGCCTTGCTGCGCTGCAAGAAGGGGTCGTTGTTATCCAGGTACTGACTGAACAGGCACGCAGACCCCATCCTGAAGTCGTGAAATCCCTGATGTCCTCCCTCTTGAATCTCCCAGCGTGTGAGGCCCCCCCTGAATGCGTGGGGGCCATGGCCGCCTACACGCACCCCGGCTGGGCCCAGCGGTTATGCTCTGGGGCTGCATTTGGAGCTTCAGAGCAAGCAGCGTTTGGTTGTTGTAGAAAAAGCACCTGTAAGACATGGCAGCATTTTCACCAGTGAAAAATCCCCTGCAAGTGGATTGGGAGAGCATCACTTGTCCGTCCTGCTGGATGCATGGTCCTGCGCTACCGGCCCAGGATGCTCCATCCTCGTCACCGCTGCATCCTCACCATCGCATCACCCCGCATGGTACCACTCCTGGCAGAGACCTCTGGATAATGTGACTGCCGATACCCAGCTCATGCAAACACCTCAGCAGACGATGAGGACCTGAAAGGGGCTTTTCTTCTCTTCTTTTCTTTTTATTTCCCTTTATTTTCTTGCTTTTTCACAACAGCAACGAGCAGCAGCATCCGAAACGCTCGCTCCGGGCTGCAACCACTGAGGCCCCCTCCTGAGCCCCCACGGCATGGCTGCTCTGCTCTGCCAGAAACACAGACCCTCTGGATATTGTTAACTTCATAAACATTTGCAGATGTTTCAGGGCCAGGACCTGCATTCAGCCGGGAACGCCTGCCGGATTGGCTGCTTTTTTGCACGGGTTTCCCTCACAGCGGAGGAAGCGGCAGATGATCCCGATGGATTGTGGCGGTTGAGACAAGTGTTTTGCAGGGATGACATGTGGGCTCCAACCAACAGAATAACCCTCTTTTCTTCCAAAAGTGTGTATTTAGCAGTTATTAACTAGTTCTGTTACAAGAGCAGGCCGAACGCACGCAGTCCTGCTTCCTGTGCATCCCAAATGCCCTGCAGTTGCATTCCCTCAGCACAGCTCCATCTGATGCCGTGCTGGGTGACCCAGACCTGCTCATCCACTCTCATCTCCAGACCAGCGTTTTCCCCAACCACAGAAACCCCATCACCTTCCAAATTTTCTTTTTTAATTCCCAAACTGGATGCCGTGCATGGGGGTTATTCTTCACCTTCCTGTAGCTGCCTCAAAGAAACCCCAATGAGCAACTTTAAACAGCTAAAACAGCATTAGAGAAACCTGCTTGCAAGAGCTCTCGGTGCCTCAACCTCCTCTCTGTTTCATTCCCCCCCCCTCCCTCTACACTACAGGGACTTTAAAAGCCCAATCTGGCCCATCAGACAACCCAGGTTTGCTGCTGCTGGGAGTTTCCAGGCGATCAGGTTATTTCCACTCCGTCTTTCACGAGCTCGACTCCTCAAACTTCTTGTAAAATATTAAAGATGGAAAATGGCACGAGCGATCATAGCTCTGTGTGTGTCAATTGATGTTTCCAGTGTAATTCACCACAAATGGATCATGTTTTATGGGCTACATACTTTCAGCTAATGGGGGAGTTTTTTCTATTTAAAAAACATTTTCAAGCACCTCCAGGGGTGGCAGAACAATGCAGGATGGGTACAAGGAGGCAAAGCATCGCTGCCACAAGATACCAACAATTCAGAGTTAGCAACAGGAAGGCGCCTTGTCTTTTAAAATACCTGCCCCTGGTTTTGTCATTAGAAAATTCTAAAGTAAATTAGATGGAGATTAATTAAAGATGTGCCTGGGTTTACTGGATAGGAGCTTTATTCCTACCGAAGGAGAGGGAATTTTTGCAAGTTGTCAACCGAAAAAATTAAGATATCCCTGAAGGAGCCTATAGGAGGGATGCTCCAGGTGCTCTCAAGAGGAAGACCATGGTCCATGGTGATGGGTGAAGATCCAACTGCTCCTTCCCAAAGAAGGGCAAGGCAAGGCAGGGCAAGGCAAGGCAGGGACAAGGCAGGGCAAGGCAAGGCAAGGCAAAGCAAAGCAGGGCAAGGCAAGGCAAGGCAAGGCAAGGCAAGGCAAGGCAAAGCAGGGCAAGGCGGGCCAAGTTCCCTCGCAGACGGAGGAAGGCAGCCGTGGGCAGGAGCTCTGCCTCGCCTGCAGCTGGGGCTCCCAACTGCAGAAGTCTGGTTTTAAGGAATATGTTAAACACAAGCTCTTCAGGAAAAACCCGTGTCAGTCGGAGCCAAGAACAGTCACCTCCATCTGGCTGGAGCACCCGAGAGAAAGTTGACTGCAAATCCCACCATATGCTCCAGACGCTCGGTACAAAAGCCTCGGGCATCCTGCTAAACTTCCAGAAAAGAAAAAAAAAAACAACAAAAACCCAACTTTCTCCAATGCTTGCTTTTCCTTTCCGCCAGCTTGTAAGCCACCTTCCTTCAAACCCTGACTGGTGCAAGGCTGGCACCGAGCTCTGCCCCAGGATTTTGGGACGGGCAGCCTGGTTTTATAGCTCTCCCGTCACCTCGCCAGAGCTGGGCGACCACAGCTGGTGGCACTGAGACGTCACTTCAGCCGAGCAAGGGGAAAATGGTGGCATCCAAAGAGGGAGAAGGACAACATGGACCCCTTCCTACCATCCCTGGCTTCACCATCCTCACCTCTGTGGGCACCCTTTCCCAAAGAGCTGCGCCCTGGGGTGCACAGAGAAGAAGCGGGGAGAGAGAGGGTGTCAGGGGGAGCCCCCCCAAGCTCTGGAGACCCCCGTCGTCCCCGGCTCCTGAGGTCTCCCTGCATTAGGGGGCAGTGTGGGAACACCGAGCAGCCAGTGCTTTGTTTTGGTGCATCTCAGCGCCGAGCCGCTGATGCATAGCTAACGCAGCCGCCGACATTGATTTATGGTCAACTTTCCATTTCATCAGCGTGCGGGGTACAGGGCGGCGCAGGGAGCTCGCACAGAGGAGAGGAGGCATGGCCGTGGTGGGGGGCTGCTGGCTGGGCCCCTCCCCACAATTTATTTAGTAGTAGGAAGGTGTGGTATTAATTGCTTTCCGTTTTTAATTTTCCTTTCTACATTTCCCTGGCATCCCCTGTCCCTCATGTGAGGGATCTGCACCCCGGCATCAATCCAGCTTGCAAAACAAAAGCAGGAACGCCTCCGGTGACCTTTAGGAGGATGAGCAGAGGATTTGTTTGCTCATCTCAAAGGGACAAAGACAGAGATTTAAATAACAGCATCTACCCACACCGGCCGTCAACCCCCGTGCCGCCGGCTGGCACCATGCGATGCCCTGCCAACCCAAGGGCCTCTCCTTCCCTACCGTTTTGGGAAGGTTTTGGGAGAGGCTGCATTTCCTTTGGCCTCCAGTGCAGGGAAGGGACTCTCCCTGCAAGGCGCTGCAGCCTGGGCTCCTCCTCTCTTCTCCCTTTCCCGGCGTGTCACTTCTCCTCCAAGCTCACTCCTGGGGGTTTCTGGGCCAGTAGCTCGCAGGAATGGTCCATCTAATTTTTTTTCCCCTTTGCCAAACAGTGGCTCACATCCAAATGCGTGGGGCTGGGGGAGGTCCATGCACTCTCAGAGCAGTAGCACTGGGTTTTGGCAACCTGAGCTTTGCTGGTGACTCCCTCCTCAGCTCCTGCTGTGGTGCCCCACCATGCCAGGATGGGATCAGGCCCTCTAAAACCTCTTGAAAACGGTCTGCCCATGCCTGCTGTCCTCGGGGATATCCTGCAGGCCCCTGGTGACTGCACCATGGAGCAGAAGAGTGAGATGCTGAAACCCCCTGAGACCTCCCCATCCTCCCATCTCCTGGCACAGGGAGGGCACTGGTTTGGGTGGTACCGCCAGGAACCTCAGCCCCTCCCACGGCTGGCACAGAAAGCGTCGAGGAGAAGTCCTGTGCATCTCCTGTGATCTTTTTGGTTTTGCTTTCTTAAGCTCAGTGCTTTAATGTCTTACAGAGATAAGAAATTACCCCTGAGCTGCAACCGCCAGCCCACCTCTGCAAGCGCTGGTCTGCAGCAGCTCCTGAAGCTGGAACGAGCTCCAGCACCCGCCATAAATCAGACGGGGCTTTCACAGGGGGGGATGTTCAGACTGTGTTAAAAGGTGGGATTTTTCTTCTCCTCCCCTCCATCCCCAGGGCTGGGAGGAGAAACCAGATGTTGGAGGGCTTTCAGGAAAGGCAGGCTCTCGAGATGTCACATGCGAGCCATATGCATCGGGACATGTCCTCTCTTCCCTCCGGTGGCTCTGGGGACGGGCAGCATCCCTGTGCACAGCACCTGCACCCATGCCATTACTTCTGCCAGGTTTTCGGGACCACCCCACCAAAAATCCTGAGAAAGAGGGGCTGCTTTTGAGGCTCCCTTCCCCAGCGGCTCCTGGTCCATGAGAGGTAGGGAGCTGGGACGGGTTGTCTGCTCCTGAATCAGACCCATCAGTGCAAAAACACTACGGGAGGGCTGAAAGGAAAGCAGGGGGAAAAGCTGTCAAGGGGAAGAGTCAAGATGGGAGCACGCACAGCATGTCTAGGGAGATGTGACTCTTCTTCCTCACCTTCTCCTCTCAGGGAAAGCCAACCCATGTTTGCCCTAACTTGGTGCCAGTTCTGCAGCCCTCGCAGCTCTGCGTGAAGCAGAGCAGTGTCCCAAAGGACACTGAGCTTCACTGCGGGGTGAGAGCAGGGCTTTTGGAGACACGTTTGTTGGAAGCAGCAGCTTGGCACTTGAATTGCTGGCAGCAGCTATGACCTGTGAGATAGCATCTCTGCTGCTGGCTTCACCCCGTGCTGCCGAGTGCTGCGACAAGATTCGCCTGTTTTAGGGTTCTCAATCGATATCAGATCTTCTTACTTTGTCAAAAGCATGTTCAGGAAATAGGATCTCTCTGAAAAAAAAACCCAAAAGCCAGGACCCTCCTTCCCACACGCACACGCAAATGATGATACCACGCTCAGATATCACCACAATAAATCACAAGCGCCTTATCGAGTCCACCTGTCTCCTGCCCGAGAAGTTCTCCCATATACAAATCACAAGCCCAGATTACAAAAAAGCAGCTTGCCAAAACAAATATTCCTTTCAACTCTGATCCCATTCGTTACACAAACAAGCGTTTCTTCCTCAAGAAGGAAGATTTTAATACACCGGGAGCTTGCGCCGCTGCAGATCAGTGCAAAGAGATTCCAGAGAAATAAAAAACCCCCATGGTTCAAGTTTTGAATACTCCTTTTCCGAGTGCTTGTTGCGATCCTCTTCGTTAGCATCGCTCTAAATATGCGTTACTCCCTCCTCAGTCAGAGCTCGGTGCGGGAGAAGGAAGGAGCGAGGGGACTTTGGGGACTTTGCGAGGTATTTGCTTACAAGGTGCCTCCATGGCATTCGGGGACTTGGCTGGAGCCCGCTCCTGCCTGCAGCCGCAGCCAGCATTTGTTAATGCTTTCAGTGATTGCATTTGGAAAAAATCAAGCGGTTAACCAGAGCGAGGAAGGGGGGAAGTTTCAGGAATCAAAATCCAGAATGTTTTCAATTATGCACGTCTGTTAGGACCGGAGAACAAATGCAATCTCAACCCAAACACAAACCAAGCAGCTTTGGAAAAAAAACATCAGTTGTAAATACCCAGTAACCTCTTCGAGCAAGAAAGAAATTCGCTTTAAGGCCACAAAAAAAACAGAAAGCAAACGGGGAAGGACAGCAGAACGGGAATTATCCCTAGACAGGTCAGCTATGCGGGCATGCTGCTTCCCTAGCATCCCCTTGGAAAAAACAACACAGGCATGACAGCGCTGACACCCAGAGCGTAAGCGAAGACGTGCACGGTGTGGAGGCATCATCGGGAGGAGCCACAGCCTACCTGGAAGAAGCCGGGCGGGATGGGGCCCCCGGGCATCCCGTCGTTCGGGGGAATGTTTCCAAGCACAGGACTCGGGGCAGCAGCTGCGCTCTGCAGGGAACAAAACCAGGACAAACACGGTGGGTTTGAGTCGGAGTTAAGAAAAAAAGCACATTAAAAAAGCCATCTCTTCTGCTGTGCCACACTGAGTCAGTCAGGCTATTATCTCCGGAGCCCCGAGCATCGCACCTCAAGTGTCTTCCCTCCACGTGGGGAACGAGGAGAGGCTTGGAGCTGGAGGGGCATCGGCCTCTGCAATTCACCCATGGAGAAGATGGCTGCATAAACCCAGGGATAATTCTGGTGCTTATTTATTCAGTTACCCAGGCATTTAGCCTCGTTAATCCACTGAGGAGCCTCACCCAACACGTCACTTCAGTCAGAAGCTGTTTTAAGGCTTCTCTTACCCTACCTACCCCTGCATGCTTGCTGGGTCGGTTCTGTCCTCCCAAAAAGATGCCTCTCCGACCTCACCAGCATGCCAAGGTTGTATTATAAATTTCCAAATTCATCACACCCAATCTGCAGGGTCACACCCCCCTCACGTCTCCCCAGGACGAGCCACCTGGGCAGCTCCAGCTCCAAAAAGGTGGGACAGGGGGTACCTGGCCACCCTGCTCAGCATCTCTAGCTGTATGGATTTCCTTACTGGCAGTGCTGGGAAGACAGTAAGAAAAATGTCTTTCCCCAGAAAACCCTGCTGACACACGTCCCTGCTGGGTTACGGGTGGTACCCGTGCCATTGAAGTGCACTCTTGTTTACCCACGGCCAAACAACTCCCCATTCCCCGGGCAGTTACAAGGGAGTCTCAGTGATATTAATTGGGTTTGGATCACTGATCTACTTCCAGGATGAATTTTGACGACGGACTTAATCACCTAAAACCACATGGCAGGGCTAAGGAAAATCGCCTACCACGAAAAAAATTGGTGGAAAAATTTCCCACCTAGAAAATCCCAGGAGCAGATGGGGTACGTGTGAGCTGGCTTGGTTTTACCCTAAAGCTTGGGCCTCCTGACTCTATCAAACGCCACATCCCAACAGCAGCCGAGCCAGCCCTGGCCCCCCAACCGCATCCGATGCGGTGACAACTGCAAGATGTGAGCAGAGGGGGGAAGCCGGGGTGTCAGGAGCTGTGCAGCCCAAAAGACGAAGGATTATTATTAAGGACTAAGGCTTGCCAAGGTGGGACCCCAATGTCTGGTTGGGAATCTCAGTGTCCCAGACCAGAAAGCCCTGCAGAGGCCGGAGAGCCCCAGGCTAATCCCTGCTCCCAAAAAAGAGACCCCCTTCGCCAAATAACTGAGATCCCCCTGCAGCTATGGGCTCCTGTGCCCCCAGGCACAGCCCACGCCACACTTCCCCCGTGCCCCTGAACAAGGCACCCTGAGCAGCCTTCCCTCCATCAACAGCAAAGGCCAGATCTGAGTGTTTTTACAGTTAATAAAAATTAAAAAAAAAAAAAGTCCTGGCAGGAAAAATAAGCCTGCCCGTTCCAGGCTTTTTTTATACATCAGACGGCAGCAAAAATAGATGGGAGAGGGAGTGAACCCAGTTCTCTCCCTCCCTCCATCCCCCCAAGTGGGTCAGCTATAAAAGTAAAACCAAATCTTAATCCAAGGCCATGAACATATTGCAGTTTCTCTGCAAAGCAGATGACGGCTCTTAATGCAAAAATATATAAGACCGAGCCCCAAACTGCAGCGAGCCCATTTGGAATTTCCTTTATTAAACCCTCTATCACGCAAGACGCTTCTCTCCCAAGGCGGTGAGCGCTGCAATAAAGCTGCCAAGGTGATATTTTATGGTTTCAAGAGATTTCCAGCACACCATAATCCTTCGCTGGGGGAATCTCCCAAAGCAAAATGGATCCCGAAGCAGTGTGGAGCGAGGACGGACGCGTATTTTGGTGATCCAGGGGGAAAGCGCGCTGCTCCCCTCCTTCCCCCTGCAACAGGGACCGAAGGGAGGAGGGCAAAGCAGCCAAAGGAAATCTTGAAGCAAATGCTCATTTTTCCAGAAAACCACAGAGTATTTTTCCGCGTTAAACACCCTAAAACCTCACCTATGCCTACACGGCATAAACGGGGATTTAAAGTTCCTCACACATGTGGCGCTTGGCAGAAGTCGGTAATTAAAAACCCGCAAGTGCCCTGAGCATATTGTAGGATGGGAGCCAAATTGGTCAGCCCTTGATGAATGATTTACAAGGCTGTGAAGTGACATTTTATTTCTATTTTATTCCCCTTCCCCGTCACCGCCGCTAAGGTAAACACAGAGGCACCTTTAGCCCCGCAGGAGCGACGGGAGCGCAGCCGCAGCTGGAGCAGCTCTGCAAAACCCTTGGGATGTGCCAGAAAAGGAAGGAAAAGGCGAAAAAAAGACAGCAGGAACAAATTTCCCAAACCCAAAGGGTGAGGACCCAAATCCCAAGGGTGAGGGCCCAAACCCCAAGGGTGAGCGCCCAAACCCCAAGGGTGAGCACCCAAACCCAAAGGGCTTTCCAGCACCTATTTCCAAAAAAAACCAGGACTTTTTTGCCCTCCCAGCTGCCCCCACTTGGCTATTCACAATTTTTGGACTAAGAAACTGTTTTTACGGACTCTGGAGATTTTGGCTGGGGTTTGCTTGCCAAGGCCCCCCAAACCCCACAGGCACAGGTAGGGATGGGCAAGGTGGGGATGCCAGAGGGGCAGGCAGGGGACGGGCAGCAGCGTAGGAGCTGTACCAAACCACATTCAGCCACGCCAAGGGTCCTCACTGGCACACGACACCCCAAATTCCCTTCCACCGAAACAACCCTACCGGAGACGAGCCAGGACAGCCCCGGCGCAGCCAGCGCGCTGGCTCGTTTGCCTTTTATTAGATGGTAAATTTGCTCCATGCTGGGAACAAAACGCAATTCCCAGAGCACGCCAATATAGCGTACACACACACAGGCACACATATGTATGTATTTTATTTGTTTTTCCACGTATGTTGGATTTTTTCCCCCATTTCTGGTGGAAGTGAGTGGCGCGGTGACAATCTGGATCACCACCTTTTGCTTCCAAACCCAAGCCTCGCAGTTAACACACCGGCTCGGCACGCCAGCAGATGCCGTCTAAGCCTTTAAATCGCACACTAATTGCACTAATTGAGCTAACAGTCTCTGTTTCGTCTCCCTACCCTGAGTCAACCAGCGTCTTCTGGTACTGCTGTAGAGATCCAAGCTGTTGACTGTAGTGTTATTTTGTCAGCCATTAAACGATTCATCAGAGTCATTAATTGATTTATTACTGCTGCCTGTGAGTATAGCTTTGCAAATAAAGAAGCATGGGGGTCAGGAGGCAATGGAAATCGGACAAAACAGCATAGCCAGGAGGTGGGTACTTGAATTATCGGTAGGAGCCCGCTCACACAGGACTGTTGGCATCACGTTATGGGTGAAAAAGAGGGGATACAAAGAAAAAAGATGTGCTGTCTGGCTGCGCTGCCAAACCAGTTGGGTTTTTCAGCTACAATCTATGTAGGATGCAAAAAGGCTCTGAAAACTGTCTTGTTTTCTTAACCTAACCCTTAGGAAGAAACCAGGTTATTCTGCCGTATTAACTACGTTTAAGCGTGATGGGGAAGAGGCATCAGCGCGGCTGCACTGAGCAGCTCCCCAGCCCCGCAGCGGCCTGAGCCACCCCACGAGCATTTTGGCGTCACCCAAATTCGCTTTCCCAGGCTGGCTGAGCTGGGAACACAACTCACCCCAGCTCGTACCACAGCCCCGGGGGGAGCTGTGGACGGGTGCTTTTATTTATTTACTTTCTTGGATGCAGAGTTTAGGTCTTTGCCCAGCGTGAAGGGTTGGTGAGCGCAGGGTGCGGCGAGCGGTTTCCTGTCCCCCACCCCCATGGCAGACTCAACCCGAGAGGAGCTGTGAGGCACCACCGAGGCTCAGAGGGTTTCGGGGGCTGAATTTAGCAACCAGAGCAGCCAGCGCAGAGCTGGATTCTTCCTCCTCATCCCCACCGCTGGGCAAGCCTGAGCCACCTCCAACAGCATCTCGAAGGTGGGCTAAGGCGCTGCACCCCATCCTACAAGGGTCCCATGGTGTGATGATGCTCAGCAGGGTCCCCAGCTTGTCACACCCCAAAGCTGCCACGCTTCACCAACACAAACAGTGGTTTCTATTAACTATGAAAACCAGGTTCCCATTGGCGGTATTTATTCTGCCGCTAAATGCCAGCCTATGCCCCCACCGCATGCTCAGGGTGAGCAGCTTCAGGTTGCACGGGCAGCCCAGCATCCTGGCTTTCCCCAACCACTTTTTTGGGTTTTTTTAATAAAAATTTAATTTTTTTTAAATAAAAACAATCTCCAAACAGTGGTGCAAGGTGCTACCAGGCAGCAGAGAGGATGCTTCCTTCATGGGAAGCACCACCAGCCTCAGCCTCCATTGACCCAGCAGCAAAATGGGGAGGGCAAATACCTTCATGGCCCAGACCTAAAACCAAACTAAGGGTGGCCAAACTTTGGCATTTTTTGGCTCCTGTCCCTGCTCCAGGGGCAAAAACCAGAGGATTTTGGCTGCATCTCACACCTCACAGCCACAGCGGGAGCAGCACGAGGCACTCGAGGGCAGCTCCCTTTGGTACCAGGGCTGGGGATGCTCAGGACACGTCGGTGATCTGGCATCTATCCGTTGTCTTTGATTTTATTTTTCTGCCTAGAGCACAGGCTTTGGGGCGTACAGAAGAAATCAGCGTGCAGGTCAGGACTTAAGCAGGCTGCGTAAACAGGTAATACGGAATTTAATTGGACTCCAGTTAAGCCTTTTCATCTCGTTAAAGCTGCCTTCATCTTATAGAGCCAGGTTTTAAATTTAATAATAGAACCCTCCCACACCTTGCCGTAACCCGATTAACGCCAGGGAGGATGGCATGCCAACCGCTTCCTCCAGACCGAGCCCTCGGATGCTCTCCTGCATCAGTCCCCTCCGCCGGTCGGTGCCAGCGTCTGCGTTGCATCAACGTGCACAAAAATAAAACCAGAGCACTATCGCAGGCCCCTGTGCTGGGGGTGGGCA